TTCCAACTCCTCATGCGGGGACATGAGAGAAGCCTCTCACAAGGATGATAAAAACATCAAATCATCCGGGCATCCCCTGGGCAACGTCCTTGCAGACAGCCAATTCTCTCATACCAGAAGTGACTTGCAGTTTCTCAAGTCGCTCCTGACACGATAAAAAAAGAAATAAATTATGCAGCCAAAGTACTTCATCTTTGCCTTTAATATCCTTCTCTCCAATGAGCAGTCGGGCTTTATTTCCTGGAGTATGGACTGGTTGGATCTTCTCGCGGTCCAAGGCACTCTCAGAATTTTCTTCGAACACCACAATTCAAAAGTGTCTATCTTCCTTATGGTCCTGATGGCCCCTATTGTTTGTCCCTTGCTGGGACCACATAATCCATTGGAAACCCATTTCAACACCTTGACTCCTGGACTCTCCTCTACAGGGGGCCCTCTCTGACATCATCAGGGATTAGACAATGACAGCAAAGCCGGATCCAGCTGGGCAAGAACTGGAATTTCAAAGTGCACTGTATAAAAATGTCTGTTTTTGACTGCAATGTATCTCAGCTTACTTTTGTGGATTACCACATGCTGGCATCATTTTGAGCTGATTGAATAAAATACCTCAGTGGCTTCATCTTCAACTTGGTCAGCTTTATTTCTAAACATCAGGCTTCTTCTCGCTCACCAGGTGCACAGACTCACAAGGATTGCTGGTGCAGGTTGCCACTTATTGGACTCGGTATCAGTGCCTCGGGTTCCGTATCTGCAGCTCAGATCTCACTATCAGTGATGTGGAGATATTGGAAATATAGATATTTATACATATATTGTATGTACATTACAAGCACTGAAATGTAGGGGGAAAAATCAGGTTTTCTCTGTATTAGGAAGCCAAGCTGACAGGACAGAAAGAATGCTGAAGGAGATCTGTATTGAAAATGGGAGGAGAAGGGGGGCATGTTATCTATACACTCCAGAGAGTGGTACAACTTAGCACAGGCCATACCTTCTTCTAAAAGTATGGAGTTTCTCTCTCTCCCTCCCTCCTTACAGGTCAAAAGTAGGCCTCTTGATGGATCTCTATTGCTGTAAGTTGCTTTAGGGGAAAAAATGAAGACATGCCCCTTGCATGCAGGAGATATAATTTGATATTTCTATGATGCTAAAGTGATGTAGTGATGATGTTACATATGTAGAAGCATGTTTCTTTGTTTGCCTGCATTTGAAGATGTATAAAAGGGAAAGTTAATGCCTTTATCTTCACTCTGGTTTGCTTTTGGATGCAATTCCACGCCAGGGTCTCAGCTGAAATGTACCTTTTCTGCCTCACACAAAAGATCACTCTTGGTATTATCTATCCTATCAGTCATAACATCAGCAGCCATTTTAAATTGATCTATTTCAATATCAAGGAGCTCAAGTTGGATTTGTTTCTGCAAGGAGTTAAAAGCAAACTTTAAACTATCAGTTAGAAGTAGCCAACATACCACACTGTTACTATTTAATGGGTTTTTAAAATTTTTGTATTGCTCTTTTTAAACTTGTCTAGTATGGATTGTTAGCCGCCTTGAGTCCCCATGGAGAGAAAGGTGAGGTATAAACAAAGATGATGATGACAACAACAATAATAATAACAACAACGTAATGACATAGAGATTTATAAAGTATATAACACATGCTACAAACACATGGGTACTTTACAATGGGGCTTAGTTACACAATGTACAGGGACCTTTCATGAATACCAAAATCTATGAAAGCTCAAGTCATACTATATACAATGGTGAAGTAAGATGGCATTTCTTATAGAACAAGTATGGGCAAACTTTGGCCCTCCAGGTGTTTTGGACTTCAACTCCCACAATTCCTAACAGCCAGTAGGCTGTTAGGAATTGTGGAAGTTGAAGTCCAAAACACCTGGAGGGCCAAAGTTTGCCCATGCCTGATGTAGACTAACCTGCACGTTGATATCTGAGCTAGCGGCTCTTGTGTCAAGATATATTTACGGATATTTCAACTTTGCATTTTTCTCATTCACACACATGCACACAAACCTGCTTTGGAATGGAAATGACACATTCCTGCCTGCAATTCCCAACTCTTGTCCCTTTCTTACTCTACAAAATTAAATTTCCTAAACTCTTGGTTCTGATTTAATTACCAAGTTTATTAACCTAGGCATTTTTCAGTATTGCAGCTCTTTCTAATGTATTTTTGGTACCGAAATAAAATTAAGAAAACACAATACAGTTTGCAGTATCATTTATTTCTTTGACAATTTTCAAAACTAATTTCAGTCAATGTTATTGCTAAAGATTGCAGTTTATTGCTTTGTAGATGCTGTTACCTAACCTAATTATTGTATTGCCATTTATATTCAAAAGTGTGTTAACTGTATTGCATTTTACTAGCGTTTACTGTTTAACACGCAAGATTTATATGTTTGTTTGTTTTTTGCAGGGATTTAGAATTGTTGCACTTTTATCTTGTGTTTATTTATTTTGTATGATAATAGCCTACGGTCTAACGATTCATAAACTGTGATTTTTAAATTTAAATTTTAAGTGTTGCACCGTGCATTTTACTATATGTGTTTTGCAGTGGTGTGTTTTAATATATTACATGGTAATTTATTTTACAGTGTCCTGTTTTGATTGTAAGACCTGTTTTGGGAGAAAAGTGGGATATAAATAAATTATTATTATTATTATTATTATTATTATTATTTTCTGCCCCACCTAGAGCTGTGGGGAGAATTAAAAATATATTAATATTACTATTAATAACTAAAACTGCTACTTTTATTTTCAATGTGTATTGAAAATATATTTCAGATATGTTTCAGATATCTCACAACACAGAAATGTCAAAACAAATGGGGGGGGGACAAGAAATGTCAAAGCAAATTCTGTGTGTGGGGGGCAGCTGATATGGTTTATCTAATGCAATTTTCTGAATCAGCACCCCAAAAACCCAAACCAAATCTAAAGTTGACCAAAAACTGATTCGTAACCCTTTTGTTACTCATGTTGGAGGATGGTCCCTGGTCAAAGTGACCCCTGGTCAAAGTGGTCCCTGGTCAAAGTGGTCCCTGGTCAAGTGATCCCTGGTCAAACCGGTCCCTGGTCAAAGGGGTCCCTGGTCAAAGGGGTCCCTGATCAAAGGGGTCCCTGATCAAAGTGGTCCCTGGTCAAGTGGTCCCTGGTCAAAGTGGTCCCATGTCAAAGTGGTCCCTGGTCAAAGTGGTCCCTGGTCAAAGTGTTCCCTGGTCAAAGTGGCACCTAGTCAAAGTGATCCCTGGTCAAGTGATCCCTGGTCCCTGGTCAAGTGATCCCTGGTCAAACCGGTCCCTGGTCAAAGTGGCATCTGGTTAAAGTGGTCCCTGGTCAAAATGGCCCCTGGTCAAAACCACTTTTTTCATGTCAGGAGCGACTTTGATTTTATGTGAGGCGTTGATGTCTATATGTGTGTCGTTTGTGTATGTTTGTCTTTACATTGTTAGTGTGCACAACTTTTACTGTAAACCGCATTGAGTCGCCGGTCACGGCTGATAAATGCGGTATACAAATAGTGTAAATAAATAAATAAATAAATAAAATAAGATTCTCAAGTCGCTCCTGACATGAAAAAAGCGGTTTGGACCAGAGACCACTAGTGTGAGAGAATTGGCTGTCAGCAAGGACGTTACCCAGGGGACGCCCGGATGTTTTAACCATCCTTGTGGGAGGCTTCTCTTGTGTCCCCGTGTAGGGAGCTGGAGCTGAAAGAGGGAGCTCCTCCGCGCTCTCCCCGGATTTGAGCCTGCGACCTGTCGGTGTTCAGTCCTGCCGGCACAAGGGTTTTAACCCACTGCGCTGTATCTACATTTAAGGTTTATTTTATCTGTATTGTCGAAGGCTTTCATGGCCGGAATCACTGGGTTGTTGTAGGTTTTTTGGGGGGCTGTATGGCCATGGTCTAGAGGCATTCTCTCCTGACGTTTCGCCTGCATCTGTGGCAAGCATCCTCAGAGGTAGTGAGGTCAGTACCTCTGAGGATTTTTATTTATTTTATTTCTCGTGTAAGGGCAGCCAGTCAATTATATTACATTTCTAGCAGAACAAAGCAAACAAACAGAGAAAATACAAAATGTGTGAGTTTGGTAGTTGATTAAATGTCCTTTGACCAGTATCTGGCCACTTGGAGTGCTTCTGGTGTTGCTGCAAGAAGGTCCTCCATTGTGCATGTGGCTGGGCTCAGGTTGCATTGCAGCAGGTGGTCAGTGGTTTGCTCTTCTCCACACTCGCATGTCGAGGATTCCACTTTGTAGCCCCATTTCTGAAGGTTGGCTCTGCATCTCGTGGTGCCTGAGCGCAGTCTGTTCAGCGCCTTCCAAGTCGCCCAGTTTCTCTGTGTGCCCAGGGGGGAGTCTCTCATTTGGTATCAGCCATTGGTTGAGGTTCTGGGTTTGAGCCTGCCACTTTTGGACTCTCATTTGCTGAGGTGTTCCAGCGAGTGTCTCTGTAGATCTTAGAAAACTATTTCTAGATTTAAGTCGTTGACGTGCTGGCTGATACCCAAACAGGGGATGAGCTGGAGATGTCTCTGCCTTGGTCCTTTCACTATTGGCTGCCACTTCCCACCTCTGAGGATGATTGCCATAGATGCAGGCGAAACGTCAGGAGAGAATGCCTCTAGAGACCATGGCCATACAGCCCGAAAAAACCTACAACAACCCATTTATTTTATCTATCTGCAAGGGATGGACGTGGATTTGATAAGAGAAGCCTCAATCTCGAAAGGCTGTAAACATGCAGATGCTCAACAGCAGGGAGGGGGGCGGGACATTGCCTTCCTGTCAATCATTCGCTCCTTTTTTTCCCCCTTCTGGGATTGGGCTGCTTGAAGTGAAGCAAGCGCGCGCACAAGGCGGGGGGAGGGGGAGGAGGCGCGAGAGAGGGAGGGAGATGGGTGCGAGAGAGGGAGGGAGCGCGCGCACACCAGGCAGCCTTCCTTCCTCTCTCTCCCTCTCGAGTAACCAGGCAAGCCAAAACCTTTCCCTTCCCCAGCTCTCGCGAGAGTGGGCGAGGTTTCCGGTGTTGTGAGTGCGGCGCCCGTCAACATGGCGGTGAACCTCCGCGCCCGGTCGCTGAGGCACCTCCGCATCCGAGGTGAGCTTGGCCGAAGCCGGGAAAGGGGAGAGAAGGAGAGGGAGGAGGCAAGGACAAAGAAGGCGGCGGCGGCGGCTTCTCCCTCCTCTTCCTTTCCCTTCGGTTCCGCGGCCCCTCTTCCTTCTCCCCATCTCTCTCTAACCCAGTTCTCGTTTTCCCCTCCCTGTTCCCCACACAGGCCGGAACGACAGCGGCGAGGAGAACGTCCCCCTCGATCTCACCCGAGGTAATTGGGGAAAGGAGAGCGGGGAGGGGGTTGCCTCTCTCTAGGCGTGTGTCTTCAGAATGGGAGTGAATGGGGAGCCGGAGATGCAGGCATGGGAGGGAGGGAGAAAGGAGGGCGAGGCCTGCCTGGGAAGCCTTCCCAGGCTCAAGGAGGGCTCGAGGTGCATCTTTCGAACAGCCGCTGCTCCCTCCTTCTCCGCAAGAGATAGGATGGTTTATTTATTTACCCCACTCAGAGCTGCTTCCAAAATGGCAATAATTCAGTGCCACACTAGCCGACCCCTGCCACGCGTTGCTGTGGCCCAGTCTGGTGATCTGGAAAATAAAGTCATGGTTTCTAATATATGTAATTCCTTTATGCTTAATGGGTAAACAGTATTTCTTCTTGTTTCTATGTCAGTGTTGATGTGGAGATTGTCTAGTTTGCCTACTCTGAAACGTGCAACATATAATTGTCCTTATTATTATTAACTTTATTTGTACCCTGCTAACATCTCCCGATGTTAGCGCCCCCCCTTCCCCCCCAGTGGAGCAGTGGGTTAAAGCACTGAGCTGCTGAGCTTGTTGACCAAAAGGTCGCAGGTTCGATTCCAGGGAGCAGCGTGAGCTTCCGCTGTCAGCCCTAGCTTCTGCCAACCTAGCAGTTCGAAAACATGCAAATGTGAGTAGATCAATAGGTACCGCTCCGGCGGGAAGGTAACGGCGCTCCATGCGGTCATGCAGGCCACATGACCTTGGAGGTGCCTATGGACAACGCTGGCTCTTCGGCTTAGAAATGGAGATGAGCACCACACCCCAGAGTCAGACATGACTGGACTTAATGTCGGGGGACAACCTTTACCTTTACCTAACATCTCCCAAAGGACTCGGTGCAGCTTACAAAGACCAAGGCCCTCAATAAAACAATAGCATAACTAATACAACAATAAAACTCATAAAACAAACCAATAAACATTAAAGCAATAACAGTAAAACATCAAAAACAATAGATCATGACACATTTAAAACTAGCGCCGGGCCAAATGTAATGAATAAGTTAAAAGTGCTGGACATGACAGCTGAAATGTGGCCCAGTCTGGTTATCTGGAAAATAAAGTAATGGTCTATCTATCTATCTATATATAAATGCTCTGTGCATAATGAGTTCCTTAAAAACAAAAGAATCGATGAACGAAATAACACCAAATTTGGCAACAAAATGTCTCACAACACAAGGAGTGAGCATCACTCAAAAAATTATAATTTTGTCATTTGGGAGTTGTAGTTGCTGGGATTTATAGTTCAACTCCATCAACGATGGAATTGAACTAAACTTGACACAGAGAACTCCCATGACTAACAGAAAATAATGGAAGGGTTTGGTGGGCATTGACCTTGAGTTTTGGAGTTGTAGTTCACCTACATCCAGAAAGCACTAAGGGACTCAAACAATGATGGATCTGGACCAAACTTGGCACAAGCACTCAATACACCCAAATATGAAAACAGATGGAGTTTGGGGAAAATAGACCTTGACATTTGGAAGTTGTAGTCACTGGGATTCACAGTTCATCCATAATCAAAGAGCATTCTGAACC